TGCAGTCATGGCCATTTAAGCAATACCCTCTACTGCATTCTGGGCCAGAGCAACCGGCCCATCCATCTCCACCTCCATCACCTCTTCCGCCAGGTAAGTAACGCTTGTCGCGGTTGCTTTAATTGATAATAGTAAAACTGTTATAATTTATTTTTAAGATATAGCTTAAGATCCTCCTTAATAAACATCCTTATCTACTTAATAATTTTAACAATCAAAATATTTACATGCTCAACGTTTGCCCATCTTCATTATATTTAAAATCTAACTGTTTTAGATTAAATCCTTTACTTGATCCTTCAACTCCATAAACATTCTTTGTTAAGCTTTGCAGTGAACAAATAAATATATAAAAAATTAAATGGATTAATATTAACATTTCTAAAAATTCAAAAAAATATTTTTAAGGTATTAGCGACGTCCAAAGATCTTAGAACTAAAAATAAAACTCGAGATACCATGAGAAGCTTGATTAAAATCCCAAAGCTCGGAAGGGGATTAAACTAAAATCTCTTCGTGTTTCTATTGTTTTCTGTCTTTTTAGAATGGTTTACCAACTTTCTGTTTAATTTTAAATTGATAAAAACTTTCTTAATTTAACAAAATTAAAAAGTTATTCATGTTATTTTAAACAAAATTATTTTAAAATTTTTTAAATTAAATTAAAATAAGAAATACATGACCAGTTTTTTATTCTAACAATAGTTTCCAATTTAAAAGTGCAATGAATGAGACAAATAAATTTTAAAACTAACACACAAAATGAATTAAAAGAAAAAGAATTTTAAATTTAATTAGTACAAATTGGTTAAAATTATATATTCTTTAATATTCAATAACCAAATATCTTCTCTTCCACCAGTAAGGTCTTTTACTTCTGTAATAAGGCCTTCTACTTCTGTAATGTGGCCTCCAATAGGCTTTTCTAACAGAAGGTCTACGCCAATAATTTCTTGGTTTTGGACGTTTCTTCGTTGGAGATACACAACAACCGCAACCACAAGTGAGACCAGATTCCCTGCAACCACAACCGCCTCCACCATCCCCACCTCCATCTCCGAATCCGTTGCCAATGTGACGTCTCTTGCGATCACTTTAATTATTAAAGCTTTAATGATTGGATTAGGATAGAATGAGAGCAAGGTTTTCGAGGAGGACTGAGACCCTTTGACAATTTGCCCCTATGCCTAGACTTCGCTTTTCCAAAAACCTCGACCTCCCAGAATAATTAAAGTTTATTTTTGAAAGTTTAGTCTTCCCCTCTTAGTGATATACCGTCAATTATGCTCTAATAGAAGCGCCCCTAATAGAAACACACCCTACGAAAGAGTTACAAATACAAATGGTTCTATTAGAGCATTTAAGGCATATAATAATTAAAATTAGTTACATCATCTTTTGATCATCTTCATTGTTAATAGGTTCTAATTGTTCCAGCCTAAAAATTTTATTAGGGGGACCTTCAACTCCATAAACATTCTTTGTTATGCTTTGTAGAGAACAAATAAATATATAAAGAATTAAATGGATAAATATTAGCATTTCTAAAAATTTTTTTTTAAATTATCCTATTTTTTAAATGAATGAAGAAAATAAAATAGTACGTTGTGAAAGTTTTAATTTATATTAACATTTTAAAATTTAAAAATTTTAAAATTTCATATAAAAAATACATTCTTGTTTTTATTATTACAAGAGTGCATTGTAATCAGACAAAATAATTGCCAATAATTTACTAATATTTTTAAAATTAAAAAAATTCTATTTTCTTGAATGAATAAAAAAATAAAAAAATAAAATTAAAATTTTTTTAGTTAATTCATGAAAAGACAAAATAATTTGGTTCTTGACTGATTATTTTTTTTTGTCAATTATTTCGAAAAATTTCCAATTAAATTTAATTTTAAAGTAGTCTGAGACTTGTTTTAATTTACTAATAGTCCAAGAAAAACGAACTTTTTATTAAATTAATTTTTTATAGAAATAATAGTTAGAATTTATGTATATCAAGTTAAAATTTTTGTCGATTTAAACGTTTAAATATATGTATGTAAAACAAAAAAATAATATAGATTTATTTTTCTTGTCAATTTAAAATTCATAAACCATCCATCTTCTTAACCATGTTTTCCTTTGTAAATGCCTTGGCTTCCAATAATGTTTTCGTTTAGCATTATGAGGTCTGCGCCAATGATGTCTTGGTCTAGGACGTGGACAAGGAATACAATCGCATTTAAGGGCACTGTAGCAAAGGCCTTTCCCACAGTAACCACCACCGCCAGCACCGTCTCCACCTCCATCCCCATTTCCGTCGCTAATGTAGCGCTTATCCCGTTTGCTTTAATAATTAATAAAAATATAAATTCTTAAAGCAGGCCTTTGATTCCCTCTTTATTATTAATAATCTAATGATAAAAATTATATTTACATAATCTCCGGCTGCTCGTCTTTATCGTAAATAGATTCTAATTGTTTCAGACTAAATCCTTTAGGGGGACCTTCAATTCCATAAACATTCTTTGTTATGCTCTGTAGAGAACAAATAAAAATATAAAGAATTAAATGGATAAATATTAACATCTAAAAAATCTAAAAAAATATTTTTATATAACAAAGTGGTTATCTTCAGTTTTGGTTATATCGCTCTCATAAACCTGATTGATTCTCAGATCCATTCTTTAATGTTCAGCATGTGTGACACTTTTTTGAGGTGATTAATTATACTTAGGACAAGGTGATCTTTCGAGCTGTTAGATAATTTTAAATTTACCTATACCTGCCTAAAGGGGGCCTATGATTTCGGCTACGGCGCTCTCCCAAGAAGGTCCTATCCTCTAAAAATAATTTTCATTTGAGATCAACTAATTGAATTTTTATAAAAAAATTTTCTTGGAGAGATGTCATATTTATAGCAATTTTAAATTAAATAATGAATTAATTCTTTTAAAAATCTCAGAAATAAATTAGGAGCATCAATCTTTTTTTTTCACTTTATTTGAATAAAAAACAAAAAAGGAAACAATTACATATTTTATTTTACTAATTTATTTATAATCAATTTAGATATTAATTTAAATTAATTTCTCAGAAATAAAAAAAATGTCAAGACCTGTTAATTTCAAAAATCAGATCATAAAATAAAAAGAAAGAATAAATTATTTGTGAATTTAAATTGAAAAAATTAAAATTTGAACAGGCCATTAATGCAGAAAAAAAGATTTTTTTGGGTGATTTCAGAGGGTAAGGCTCTGATAAAGTGGATCATTGTAAAGCGTTGATTGTTGTATATCAAGCATTTTATTCAAGCATTTTATTTTCACTGTAAACAGCCATAGGAACAGAATTACTCTGAAACTTCGAAGTAGAAGCAGAGCTACTTAGGAGCAGAGCCATAATGAGCCATATAATGAGCCATATAAGGAGCCATATACGCCATATAACCATAGCCATATAAGGAGCCATAAGAAGGAGCCATAATGCCTTTCGATTTTTGATCATTTCTTCTCCCAATTTCTGATCTGGACAATCTTTTTATATTCGACGTATCTCTCAAAGGAGATAATCAATTTTCTATATCCAAAAAACTAATAATAAATGTAGCGAAAAGATGAGAAAGGAAAATTAGCTATATAGAAAAGAGATATATTTATTGATGGTCAAATAAATTCCTCGTTAATCCCTTCCAAAATAAAAATAAAATAAAAAATATCCTGTCGCAAAACCACAAAAATAAAAACAAAATTTTTCTCGTTTCATTTTTCATTTTTTTCCTCCTATGAAAGTTTCACTTTCTTTTTTCCTATGAAAGACTGTCAAATAAATTACAAAAAATATTTTTTATTTAAATTTTATTCAAATATTTTTAAATTTATTTATCTTATTTTAATTTTAACTTCGTTGGTTAAAGCTGAATTTAGCCCGGATTTTGCCAAGTGGCTTTCGGAGTATTATGGAGAGGATGTTAGGGCACATCTAGAAAGGTTCTTAGATTTTTTTTGAATTTTATTATCGGGAAAATAATGGAAAGTTAACTCGGAAACGTCTTATCGAAATTAGAAAAACAATCGAATCTCTTACGTTCATCCCCGGGATCGGGTGGGCTAACGTAATAAAGAGGGAGAGGCCTGCTAATGGGGACAGATAAGGGTACAACAGTTGTTGGTAAGATTAACGAGAGTCTAACTAAAAATTATTTATAGAAAAGACCTAGGCCATGCAGGCTCGTTTGGAGGAAAAAACGAACCAGGCGAACCAATACGTCATCAACCTGTTATTTTTGTGCATGGTTAGTTGGTTAATAAATGCATATTTTTGTGATTATGTATCTAAAGGTGTCTCCAATCGTGCATGGGACAAAATGAAAAACGCGGCAGATTATTTCCAGTTTTGATTTTTCTTTAAATTATCATTGATAAGTAATTATAGCCAACAGGGTTATTCTTTCGCGGAGCTTTACGGAACAACTTATGCCAATGGAGATGAAGGAAACCCTTTACAGTAATTTTGAAGAAATAAATTTTAAAAATTATTAATTCAGATGGGCCCAGTATTCAATGAAATGCCAATATGTCAAATTGGTAGGGGAATAATTTAATAATTTTGGAAATAAATAAAAACTGAGCATAAGTTGAGTTAGAGGGAGTAGCCAGTCAAGCATAAGTCCAGGCAGTCCTGGAGCCATAACTTAATGTAAAAATGTGATAAAAATCTAATTTTGGTACCAAAAAATACAGCTCGAAAAATTACGTCTATATTGCAAAATTTATTCAGATCAGACATTTACAAGCCGAGTTATAAGCTTTAAAACAGACTAAAGTTCGAATAAGAGATGTTGGGTCATCCTCATTTAATTAAAAGCAAAAAAATAAATAACACTCACAACATGGCCTCGTGGTGTAGTTGGTTATCACGTCAGTCTAACACACTGAAGGTCGCCAGTTCGAGTCTGGCCGAGGTCAAATATTTTTTAAAATTTTAATAAACACTTTTTAACTCTATTTATGTATATTGTCCAAATATTTTTTTAAATTTATAAAAAAATTTTTAAAAAGGTACGGGCACTAATTGTGGCCATTCGGCTTTATACAGGGAAGCAAGGTGTATTTTTAAATTATTTTTGAAAATTTAAAAAATAAAAAAAAGTTGATGTAATTGGTTATTCATTGGGAGTGCCTGTCTCAAGAAAGGCTATTTTAGGAGGTAGATGTGTTGATACTGGAGAGGATTTGGGAGCACCGTGAGTTGAAAAATTGAAAAAAAATTTTTTGAAGTTCTCAATAAAATTTCAAAATTCTTTCCAAAAAGCCTCACAAAATTTGTCGATACCTATGTCGGTGTTGCCGGCCCCAATCATGGAATATCTCTCCAACTTGGCTCATTCTCCCTTCCCGGATGTGCCTTAGCTCTATTGCCTATATGTAATGGTCAAACTGGACTTTATTCTTCCGGTTTTTGTCCATCTACTGAAAGTGCTTTTCTTCAGGATATAAATAGACAACAAGGATATGAAGGGAAATATCGGTAAATTTTGGAAAAAAATTTTTTTAAATAAAATTAAAATCATACTTGAAGTGCAAAAAGGTGCCTCAAAAATTAATTCTCTCCCTTTTAATAAATTTATTGAAAGTAAAAAATATTAAAAAGGGAGGGGGATACTAATAAGGAGTTTCTGGAACAAGACGAAACCCAATAAAAATATCGTTGAAATCGAAGGACCTATGGTTCTTGGTGACCATATTTTTGAAAACCTCTGATTAGAGTTGACGGATTCTGGAAAATCCATGGATATCCGTATCCAATATCAGAACGAAAATTTCCCGATCCGATATTCGTCCGATATCCGTCAACCCTCCTTCAGATCTGGTGTCTCTTATGCCAAATTTTAATGAAATTTTTTCAGGTTTTCTCTATACAGCCAAAGAGATCAAATTATTGGTTATACAGTTTGTAACAAGGCAAGCATAATTAATTTAAAATCAATTTAATTGAATGAATATTAAAGATAACAAGCCAAATCCCTTTACAAAATGCAGAAAAAGTTTATCCGAGTGCTAATCATGACGAGACATTTTTAAACTCTTTTCAAGTTCAAATGGAAATGGTTGCTAATCATATTGTGATATAAATACCTATTAGTAGTTTAATACCTACTACATATTAGTACTAGATTAGGTAGTTAAAAAATATTTTATACAACAATTAATTTATAAAAATTTTAAATATATCTATGACGGAGAGTAAATGTTTGAGTGCCTTTCCTAGTGTACAAACTCAGAACAACCAAATTAGTTTCTGATAAAAGCTTCAATCCGTTTGGAGGTATATCTGACTGGCAGCACATTCTTTATTTTAATAAATGAAGAGGATAATTTTTATAATAGTCAAAGCTTGTTATAAGAACACCATAAAAATTGGAGCTTATAATGAAGTGTTTACTAAATAGAGGGTATCGCTAAAACAGGGGTATTGCCCAATCATTGGCCAACCAAATTTTAAAACGGTAATAGGTGTACATATTGGGTGTTTCTTATAACGAGGTCCAACTTTAATCCCTTTAAGGCAATTATTTCTTTACCTTATCCCCGTCCTCGTAAAATCATCACGCAATTTAAACTCAACATTCCCATAAAAACAAGCTTCGTGGCAACTTGTTTGAGAGCCTAGCCTGACTACTTCCAATTCTATTAATTTTCCTTGGGGTGCTTGTAAATGCCAATGACAAGAACTAAATTCTCTCGATGTAAAATCATCATTGCCTATCGTGCCAGTTAATTCGTTTTGTTCTGAAGAAGTCTTAAAAATTAAGAAAAATTTTTTTAAATTTTTAGTTAGTAGATGGATAAAGGGAGACCAAGCTTTTCTCTTTTTAAACAAAGCTTTAGCCAACTCCCGTCATAGTGAGATACTCAAGAACATGCCTCGTATAATAACGTGTTAATATGAACAACGGGAACGGGTCAGCGGATATTCAAAAAGGAAATTTACATATGTGATCCAGTATGGGGCGTTTTGTGGCTCCGGCATTGTATAATCTTAGCTCAGGCTGGAGTCGGCTTTTCATAGCTCCCGGAGCCATGCCCTACACTGGCGTCACTTGCCTACACCCGTCCATGCCCTACACCCCCTATTATCCTCACGTAATTTTCAGATAAAAATTCCCCTTCCATCCACACGTTAATCTAATTCTCGATTCTCTCATTCACGCCTAACTATAATAAATATTGTTTTTTATTATTTATTTTCAATAAAAAACTAATAAATCCACACGTTTCTAAATAAACATCCCCATTCCAATTTTCACTTTCACACAAGCCGCAGTCAATATTTCTTTCTGTTAAAGCTATCTAGCTAGACAAGCTAAAGCTATTTCAAGTAAAGCTTATACACACTCTCTAGTTGTTTAGGCATTTTTTAAATTATTTTTTCTGCTTTTCTCTCTTCCCCCAGCTGGCATGCCAATTTGCGAAATGGCCAAAGGGAACACTCCTATTTACAAATGGAATGCAGCAGAGCAGAAATAAACCAACACGGAAATCTGTCATTATTCTTATAAGGCTTTAAAAAATATTTTTGCCTATTTTCGCCTATTTTTTGCCTATTCAAAATCTATTAAAATGACTGTGGATGTTCAACAAGCTGCTACTAGCTGTGTTGGGAAGCAACAAAATTCAAAAAATACTTCTAAAACGTTTCAGTTAACAATCTCTTTAAAGTATGTTGTTAAGTTTAGAAGTGAAAATTACAATCAGATCTATAGCCTCAGTCAGACCTCTGACTCTCTCACTGACACCTTATGAGAGATCCCTCTGCCCTATTTACAGCCGAGAGCCTACTTTATGGAGTGGCATTTGAAGTCAACGTCGCTTCGAAGACTTCTTCCTAGACCTCTTCTATGATTCATTATACGCTTCTTAGAGGCCACTGGATGCCTAGTAGTTTCCAATGCCTTGAGCCTACCTTCGAACTTATTACGAACCCATACTTGAGAAGTAGCTATTAACTAAAGATAATATGCTCGTCTCGTAAAGACTTGAAATCCCCTCAATTTTTAATTTTTGAATACAAAGACTGCAAAAGATACAAATAAAATAAATAAGTTTAGAAATGTAGAGGATGGAGCAAATAATGTTACGTTCAAACAGGATGGTTCGAGATTTCCAACCTCGCAAAGAACAATAAAGCTTATAACAAATTGTAAATACCAGATTGTTTTAAGCAGCAAACCTGCTCAGGAATTTACGTAAGTCTATTTTAAGGTTGGAGGTGCCACATGCCAAGAAATATATGAAACTCTAGATTAGATAGACTAACTTCCTTCGGATGGGGTTCTATATCCACGCCCAATGGCTGGAAATGAACCTATTTTCGAACTTCTTTCGGATGTTCGGGATGTTCGAAACCCCATAAACTAACCCTATATTGCTCCCTGACTCGCTGGCCAATACTTTTCAGGGAACGGGGATGCCGGCTAATAAACGAAACCATGGATTAGGGTCGAGGAATTGCCCAAAACTAATCGTCAGACGGGGAGTCGGGGACCAATCTTACTATCTTTCTATCAACTTTTCACATATTTTTAGAAGTCTACACCTAGCTGGAAGTGATTTGGATCTCATTCCAGAGAAAGGACAAGGCATTGGAAGCTACTCAGCAATTTGGGACACCGCGGGGATTGAACCTACGAGAAGAGGTGGAAGACAAGATATTTTATTTGTTCTAGAGGTTTTTCTAAAAATATTCAAGATAAAATCAAAAATTAAAATTTAAGGGTCAAAACCAAACCCTTACACAAAAATTACAAACAAAATTTTATGGAAAACAGGATTCTCATGGAATTGTAGGGCACAGATTGGAGGTATTAAATTAATCAAAATTTAATTAAAATAATTTCTTAGGCATTGGTTTGGAACTGTGAAATAAATTTAAATGGCCAAATTAACGTAAATGATGAAAAAATACTTTGATGATTTAAATAAATTTTTATTTTTTAATTTTGTATTTAGCTAGTTTTTTTATTAATATGGATTTAAGTAAAGGCGCTAGAACTCGAGATATTTTTAAAACTTTTGGCCAGAATCCAGGTCGGATACTGTGCCTAATAGGCCTGAGTTTATGCCTCAAGTCAAGAAACTCTTGGCCCAGGAAAACAGGAGAGGAAGCTAAAAAGCATGTCAGTTCTGGGCTTTTGGTGCAGAATAAACCTAGGTGCACTCTAGCGACTTCTGGCTGACTGAGACCGAGGGAGAATTCTGAGACCCAATTTGGCAAAAAATCTTCTAATAATATCCCCACCTTTATTGTCTCTCCACAATTAGAGGTAATCCCAACACTTGACTCTCTCTCATCGCAAAATTTGCCTCCAAACCCCCAAGGGCATATACACTGACTACAGTCTTTTGGCTTTGGAAATCCTCCATTTTTGCATTCTACACTTCTGCCTTTGCAGTCATCTCGAATTTAAAATTGATTTAATTAATACTTAGTTACTAGCGAATTTAAAAATTTTTTTCAAGATTTAAAATTAATTTATTCGAACAACCCAAACACATGTAGCGCTTATTCATCAGTAGCACGTCTAAAAAGCTGGGAGCAATCCTCTGGCCCATAGTTTTTTGGTTGTAAGGCTCTTTGGCTGATAACACAGGGTTGTGGGCATCGGGGGAAGAAAAAGCATCTTAAGAGTCAAAGTTGACATTTTGACATTTTAGTGATTTTGACATTGTCAACTCACATTCTGAGTAGTGCATTACTGAACCCAAATCGTAAGGTACTTGTTGATTGTCATTTTCTTCCTCGGATTCCTGTGAGGAAAAAGAGTTAGGTATATTAAATAAAAGGGTTACTGTAATTACTCATTTAATCACAGCCTTAAATTAAATATATTTAATTAGTTAAAGGTTCGTTTGATTATAGGAATTTGATAAGACCTGAATATCCGGATTAGAAAAAATCTGGACATCCTAGACAGGATATCTTTTCAATAAATAATCATTGAAGAGGCGGGAAGATCATTAATTGACTGTTCCGGGGCTTGATTAACGGCCTTTATTAAATTCTTCCAAATATACAAAGTGGACTATCAACACGTAGAAATGCTTAGAATAAAATAATAAAGTTTCCTTCACCTTATCAAACTGATCCTCGTATCCATGTCTTATATTATCAAGACTAACACTAACAAACTGGTCTCTATCCCAACGTGATTGCTCATGAAAAAATCCAAGAGCATGTGCAACTTCGTGAGTAATAATGCCAAACTGGAAGGGAAAGGGGTTTTTTATCAAAATTTTTATTCAGTTACTTGATCACAATCTTCACCAATAGAGACATATTGATCCCCCTCTTGTTTTCCAACATAGCTAGAACATCCATTGCCTTTTCCAAATTGTAATCTAGTCTCTGATTGATTGCTAAATTGAATTTTTTTAATTTAGAAGTTGAGGATAAATTGGAGGATACATGGGGTTATAGCAAAGGATTTTAAAGGTATCTTATGTAAGAACCATTTAATACGGCATTAAATAGCAGTGAGATTAAACTTGTGGTTGGCCAATAATCGCTATCACGATCTAGATTGTTATAGGAATCTCACCATTTTTTAATATCTACTATATTGACTAGAGATCAGGGTATAACCGAATGGGTATACAAATTCAGAAAATTCAGAATTTTACCAAACGATACTCCGCCCAAATAGTCACTGATATACTACACAAACCCTTCATTACCTTTGAAAAAGCTCTTCCTCACGAAAACTTAGACAGGTCTGATCAGCCCAAAAACTGAGTGCTTGTCGAATCCTTGTGCGCCTTTCCTCAGCTAAAATTTAAAGGATTTAAAATTTTCTAATAGTTTTATAACAAATAGAATTTCCAAAGGTGTAGGGAACTGTCCTATTTAACCATAGAGAAGTTGGAAAAGTCACAGAATTAATTGCTTGTCGCTTATTCCTGCTAATCGTTGGAATATCATTAAATTTTGAAAATAAAAATTCTGCTTGTTTAAGGTTGAGAATTATATCTCCTTGATAAAAATTGTGGCCAAGTCCTCTGTTGATTCTGGCTATTGTTGGTGGGGGATTTTCTTCATCTTTTTTAATTTTTTCTTTAATTTTATTATTAGCATCTTTTTGTAAGAATTTAAATTTTTTATTTTTAATTTTAAACATATTTTGATAAATTATTTGTTGTCGAAAATCTTTTAAAATTTGTGAGATCCGTTCAGTGTTGTCTAGCTAGAAAAGGATTATCTCATTTAAGTATTATAGGGCTTGGAGAAGTCCGATTGAACCGCTATCGAAGTAAATTTCGAAAACACGTCTCAAACCAGACTCAAATTTTTTAACCCGAATGGAATGTCCTATAGTATTCTTGAGAAAGTATCCAAAAAAATCACCCCATTCATTCATGGGGAAAGCATGGATGGCTCTGGAGTTGGCGGACCCGGATAAAAGTCCAATATCTTTTGGTTTGGATATCGGATTAAAATAGGATTTCAGGATTCGGAGGGCGGGTATTTTAGGTCCTGTTGACTGTCGAGCCCGTCTATGTGAATGAAAATGTCTCAGAATACTGAATATTTACTCAAAATACTTCGGCGGCTCCTTGTATCTACTAGCAGTTATAGCTGCTTTAGCAATGTTTTAACAAGGTAGATACAAGAATAATTAAAATTATTCCCTCAAAATTACCTTAATTTCTCTTTTTAGAGGTACTGAAGCTATCCTTTCAATAAACCATATAATTAGGATGTATAAAAATAATTTAAAAATTAACATTTAATATTTTTATTTACAGAGGTAAATATTACCCAAAAATATGCTTACTTTTAAAGCCAAATACAAACACAAAAAAATTCCAAGACGTTCGTACCCTTATTTTTCAGATAACAATAGATAACAATTCATCCCATTTTTTATTAAAATTTTTTTTCTTTGCTAAAGCTATTTTTGCTTTTATTTTATTAATTTTAGGGCATAACACACCCTTCTAGTTGACATTATTTTGGGGCCAAATAAAAATTTTTTATGAGATTTTTATATTTTTTCTATATGTTTGTTTGTCTTGAACGTCAATTTTTATTGCAAGACGGTTTTAAAAATACATAGTTCCTTTTATAGATCAGAAAAATAAAATAAAAAGAATTTTTTATTGAAAAAATTGAATAAAATACAAGAAAAAATATTCCAAAAATTTTTCAAAAAATTCAAAAAAAATTTTTTTTAGTTTTTTAAATTATTAAAATTACGTAATTTTTCTTTTTAGAGGTATGAAGTTCTCCTTTCAATTATTTTCCGCATTAAAAAATTTTTTTTTAAATACAGTTTTTAATGCTGATTCGAATGATATATTATTTATCCTTATCAGATCAGTATTCACATATTAAAAAATTTTCAAAATTTTTAAAAAATTTCTCAAAAATTTTTTTAAACCCTATCCTTCATTAAATGTTCACAATCACCTTCCACACCTTTTTTAATTTATTTTCTAAAATTTTTTCTCCTTTCGATTTTTAAATTCATTTTCAAGAACAAAAGAAAAACCTGTTTTTCTCTTTAAAACCTTCCCTCTATTGTTCAACAATTCTTTTTCCCCTCCCAATTTAGAAATTTTAAATGAATTAAAACGTGTAAATTTTTTGATGTTTACCTCTTTCCATTCTTCCTTTTTTTCGTTCTCGATTAAAAAAAATTTTTAATTTTAAATTTGTCATTCTTAAGACCAAAAAATAGATTAGTTATTTTAATTTTTTCTATTTTAAACCTTATTTTAATTAAATTGAATTTTTTATAAATTTAACGAGAAAATCAAGTTAACGATCATTTAAATCAGGAATCTTAAAAAAAATTCGAAAGTTAAATTTAAAAAAAATTTTTTTTGCCCAGAATTACCTTCAAAATTAAGAACTATTTATTAATTAGAGACCGGACTGGGAGTATTGTACGAGATCCGAGATCATAATCTCAAAACATTCTTGTTCTCGATAACCGAGATTTTCGATCGGGATCTTGTCTCGGTCCGGTCTCTAGTATTAATCTTATAAAAAATATATATGAACAGTTAATGTCTCTCTTGGTACACCTAAGTGATCTGCTTTTGTTGTCCTTTTAATTAGAGATGGGATCGAGACTAGATCACATCTAGAAACCTCCTATTACTCTATTATCAATCTTGAATGTCGAACATCCACACTATCATCGTTTTCTATATAGTGAAAAGGTTCCCTATTCTGGCACATTTTTGTATTTTAAAATCATTAATTATTCACCATTTAATTTAATAAATTATAACTTGTATTTAGTAACAAAAAATCAGAAAAATGAACATTCACGATTACAATTCCCGAGTAGATTACATAAACAATGCAAGTCGCCAATTAGAAAAGAAATTGTGTGAGGAAAGCATTAAGCTACACAAAGGATTGCAAGACGATATTTACGGCAAAAAGGCGTATAATAGTTACACTCCGAGAAGTGAATCGGTAAACAATGGAAAAAAATTTTTAATTTTAGAAAATTGAGAAAGGGTTTTGATTAGAAATCGGACTTGGAGCGTCGTACGAGATCGAGATCTAGAAACATTCTCGATCTCGATAACTGAGATTTTTGAGGACCGTCTCTTAGAGAACTAGGGATCGTCTCGGTCCGGCTATAGTTCTGATATTAATTAAAATATAACTCTTAGTATATGAGTATATGATAGAAAAGGAAAGACGGAATCGGAAGAGATCCCATTCCTGGTGAAGAGAGATTCACAGGATTAAGAAGCCCTCTAAGCGTCACATCCTATTTAAGATACCTCTCGTTATAAGATAAATTCTGGCCTCAAAAGTGTACTTTATAAGTGGTCTGTAAATCCTAAAGGGAAATTGAGAAAGGGTTTTGATTAGAAATCGGACTTTAAAATCTTCTATGAATTTTATAAATCTTCTATGAATTTTAAAATTAAAATTTATTTTTCATATCCATTAATATCATTAAGGCATATTCACCAAAACACACACCTAATCGTTACTACGAAATCCACAGCAAAGAAGATCCTTATAAGCCTGTCAATTTTTGGACTCCGGCACTTAAACTTGTCAATTTTGAAGGTTCTTAGGATTAAAAAAATCTTAAAAAATCTCAAAATTAAAGGACCAACAACCCGTTCAATACCTTTAGACGACGGCAAAATTGGAGGTTCAATAACTACGTGGCAGTGGACAAAGGCTAGTGAACGCCATTTTTAGAAGAAACAATGAAAGGGGAAAAATTAAAACAACGAGAAAATTAAAAAATTTGAAAGGATCTTCTAAATATTATTTTTGATAAAATAAATAAATAATTTGATAAAATAATATTTTTTTTAAAATATTTAGAATAAAAATATTAAAAATAAAAATGACGTGTTTAGTGATTAGCTTCTTCCTCTCCATTATTTTCAACAACATAACATTACCTATTGTTCATGTTTGTTTGTTCGCTTTTTCTCTTCCTTCTCTATGTCTCGAGTTTAACAAAACAAAGCAAACAAACAAACAAGGAAGCAAAACATTTAAGCTTATCATATAAATATTTATTTAAATTTACCTACATTTTAACTAAATTTTATCAATCACTTCCCTAATATACATATTCCTTAATTTAATAAAATTATGAAGCTTAATTGCTTGGTAAGAAAAAACTTTTCAAATTTTTTACATTATATTAAAGCCCTCGTCAGCCTCCGTCAGTACCTCACTCTAATAAGCCCCTATGGGTTTTTAAAATTATGGCCGGCCATTAGAGGATGACTAGCTAAATTTTTAGGATTTTAGGACCTCTATTTAATATAACACCTCATACCTTCTTTATTAAATTAAAGAGTCTTCCTTTATTTAAATTCTAAATTTATTTTTATTAGATTTGTTATTTCTTGATAGCCCTCATATTGTTTGGATTACTTCAAACTTTGTTTGCCCAACAAAAACGTTGCCTTAAAGTAAAGCTTCCCGATGTTTGTGAAAATTCTTGTCCGGTAAATTTAATTTATTTAAAATTAATTTTACCTACTAGTTAATTTAAATTTATTTTTTTAGTATCCCGCAAAATGAATATTTAATTTGGCCGTCTACAAATTTAATTTAAATTCCATTTTTAAAAATTAATTAATAAAATTTTTTTTAATATTATATGAATATTTTTTATTAAATTAATTAAATATTTTTACAATAAATTTTTTGTTTGTAAAATAATTTTTTAAATTGAAAATAAAGCTTTTGAAAAAATAAATATTAAATCTTGAGGATAAATAAAGCTGATAAAAAAGAGAGAGATTTTATTAATGAGAGAATTTACGGTTATTGTTAAAGGGACTAATTGAGGTGATTAGAAATATTAAAAAATACACTCGAACATCATTATAATATACCCCTAAGATCAGAAGCTTTCATTACAAGAGATTTTTAAAATTTGGTTAGCCAAGAGGGTAGGGACGAGTCCGAGACTCTTGGTTTTGACTCCAAGACTGGGTTTTTTCGATCTTGGGGTGAATTCTTGGTCTTGGTCTCGACTTTTTTGAGCTTTTATAAATTTGCAACCCTATGAATTGAACTTTGCTGAATTCCATATTTTATTTCCAAAATGCATAGGCTTGAGTTTTAAGAAATTTTTGGCATCTCTAACCAATAGGGATGAGTCTAAACGTTATCCCCATATTTAGGCTACACCTCAACATGCGGAGTTAATTTTAAGTTCAACCCCAAAGAAGTATATTATAGCGAGATTCGAGAAAAATCCTCCATCAAAATTTAAAATTCCAATTTGCAAACATCCAAACATTCCTCTACCGAACCAAACCGATTTTGATTACCTCCACATTCTTGGGTACTAAAAGCATAACATTGTGCAGTAACACTATCAAAATAAAATTTTGTATTTAATTTGGTTTCATCCAGAATATTTTCTTCATTTTCCACAGAAGTTTCCCATTTTTTCAATTTTTCTTCTTCCGAGAATTTATTAAATTGCTCGTTTATATTGTTTTCTAAACCTGTCTGAACTGGTGATTTTTGTTGTAATTCGATGGTTGAACACAGACCTGATTCTAAAAATATATAATTTTTTCAATAAAGGATATACATTCTAAATCTACTAATTTCACTAGTACGTCGCCCTCTGACGAAGTGTCCTTAGGGTTTAGGATTTTTC